TCAGTAGACCCTGCTGACCTCCTGGATATGCATACCCAGCCTGACTAGGCCCTGCAGGCAGGAGACAGGTGAGAGAAAGTGGAGGAACTATGGCTCTAGCCAAGCTATAGCCCCAAGATAGGGGTCCCAGAGGAAGTCAGTGATAGCGACCAGGTCACAAGAGCTGAGCAGGAGGAAGCCAAGTGGTAAAAGGCCCCATGAGCGCACTGACCTTACAATGAAGGTTTTGGGCAGCAGACCAACCCAACCGCATTCACTCTTGAGTTTCCATGTGTGTTTCTACCTTAACGAAGTGATGATAAGTTCTGGTGGTGGGGATGCTGTGCCCCACAGCTGACTCTGCCCTGAGTTCATGATACGGGGCAGAGTGGGAAGCCTCACTCAGCTCTCCCCACAACACTTGCCATCACATCCTTTAGCCCAACAGACAGAAGATGCAGGAGCAGCCAGCCAGAATGCACTCTGCCTAGATCTCTCAAGACAACACCAGGCAGGATGAGGTGTGGCCACACTCTTCTGGGACACTGCTGCTGGACAATACTCCCCAGCTTCACTCCCTTGGGTAGGATGTGTTCTAGGCCAGGCATGCTCTATGCCTGCTCATGGTCTGTCTCACTTTTTTCCTTACCAACAAGATGTTCTCAGAACTAAATCTACTCTGGAAATCAAGCATCTAAAACGATCAGCTCTACCCAATCCCTACAGAAGTGAAGAATGAGGGGGATAGAGCCCAAGACAGTGTCAAGGGGCATCCCACCACCTAGCCAAGATATCTGACCTCACCCAGAACTTGCAAGATGCCACTGCTCGGCAGCCCCACCAAACACCTGTTCCCACCACTGTCCACCTGCCAGCCTGGCAAGGGCTGTCCCCGTCAGGCGCAGCCAGCAAGGGCTCTCTCAGGGTACAAGCGAGAAAAGCGACCAAGGGCCCAGATGGGGAAGATGTTCCTGTAGTTCGTGTAGCTGATGGCACAGGACTTGTTGAAGACCCCGGAGATATTATCCTGAAAGAACAGAGAAATAACCCAGTTCCACCAGGTGTCTGAACGGTGAGCCTGGCTGTCAGGTTTGCCAGCTCATGAGTCACCTGAGAAAGCTAATAAAGCAAGAGTACAGGGAGCCCCAGGCAGATAGTCCTTCCACCTGTGCCAGCCATGGACTACCAGCCCAGCTCCTCACCTGCAGCAGACTCCACCTGCATCTCTAGCCCCTCTCGACTCCTTACTAGCAACAGACCCCTCTTGGGCCCTCAAACACATCAGCTTCCACCACTCCATATTCATTTGAAGGGAGGGAGGTAGTGTCCCTTTGCTCCTGTGCCCCCACCCCCTTGGGATTGGCAAAGGCTCCTCCTATACATCCAGCTTGGGTAGGGCCATGTGCATTGTGTAAGCCCAGGGTTTGCACTGGAGGGGTTTTCCTGGTTCTAAGAGAAGAACACTTTTGTGAGCCAGAGCTTCACTTGCTGACCCCAGGATCCACCAGGATTTCAGGGCCTGCCCTACTGCTGCTTCTTGCTGTAAGCCTGTGTATCTCAAACCCCTAAAAGCACCTCAAGGGACTTCAGGGCAGGATGGGGAAATGAAGACACTTATGCCAACTTCAAGTCACCACTGAGCCTATGCTCCTCATCCCCCAGAAGCTTACCTGGGGCCAGTCGCCATTGGGGAGCTGTTTCTCAAGTAGATACCTGATTCCTTTCTCCTGGGCTGCTATGTCAGGATGTCTGGGGGAAGAAAAGACAGTTTAGAACACACTGGTGTACACGATGCATAAACATTCATTCTTACCCTCCTGCAGCCTAGCACGGGGATGAAAACCTGGGGCACTGCAGTGATAATGGAAGACCCTACAGGCTCCTGCTAGGAATAGTCGGCACATAAAGGCCAAGTGGCACAACACGTTTCTTCCAGACCTGCCCAATGGCCTAAGCACAAGGTGCTAACCTCTTTTTCCCTAGAAGAGGAGGCCAAGCCTCACACCCAATGTTGCTGGTAGCCAGGGGTCTCTGGAGGCCACAGGAGCCCCAAGGGCTAATGCCTACTGGCTGGTAATCATGAGATTCCAGAAGGACTAAAGGCTCAGCAGGGCCCAGAGGATCGTTGACTATCCCAGACTCTGTGGCTATTGCTCACACCACCATGGCCCGGTTGTGAGGATTCCCCAGATGGCTGCAATTTGATAGTGCAGCATAACGTGGGGCGCAATATGTATGTCTATGTGTACATATGTATGCACCCATGTGTGCATATATCTGCTTGTACACACATCGTGTATGCATATACCTGTGTGTGTACATGTGCCTATGAGTATGCCTATGTGTGCTATCTGTCTACACATGCATCCATCTGTGTGCATGATCCTGTATGTGCATACAACTGTGTGTGCATGTACCTACATATGCATATGGCTCAGCACCTATGCTCTGATTCCTGAGGCAGCCGTCACTGCTACATGCCAGAAGCTCCTCCCCATCATGGCCTGCATCTCTCTTCCCCTGGGTCACTGCTTTCCTGGTTCCACCAATGCAGTGCCAGCCCCAGTGTGCCTACAAAGCAAGTCTCTCTGCAAGGCCACAGATAGGCCACCATACCCAGGAACCTGTCATGTGACTCCTGTAGGTCAATGTCCCCAGAGTGGTAGCTAAACAGGGGCCCCAATAACCCCAGGCCTCACCCTGGCCCATCCTGGCCCACCCTGGCCCTTACCACCTGCTCCCAAATGAGTGTCCCTCCTCAACCCATCTCAAGGCTCAGGTAAGTCCTGTCAGCCTACCTGACAGCCATCAGTCCCATCAGGGCCCAGCAAGTGTTATGGACCTGAGACTGGGCACTCTGCACATAACGCCGCTGTTCACAGGACTCAAAGTCCTCCCCCCAGCCTCCATCTGCCATCTGCCGGGACAGCAAGAAGTCACAGGCCTGAGAGACCTCTGCACAGGCAGTCCTACAGATAGAAAAGATGTCATCATGCCAGAAAAGGCCCTGAGCCTCTGGATTCCTACACTAGCAGGCCACAGGGATGGGTACTGGGGAGGAGCCTAGACATGGTCATCCGTCCCTCAAATGAGGGACATAGGCTATGACATAAACACTTGAACTCAGTTTCTGAAGTTGCAAAATGGAGACAGGTAAGTTTGGCCCAGAGTCATTGGGAAGATTAAGTGAAATGCTTGTAGCTAATTTCCTGCCATGACAGACCAAAAGTCAACAGTATCTGGGTGGCACTTGGAGACAGGCCTGGGATGTCTGTATTGTGCCTAGTGGAGCAGAGCACACCTACCCCAAACAACTTAGAGCTGGGCAAGGTGGTAGGGAAGACCTGGCATTGGCCTCCTTCCCTCTTTTGACCTGGCCCAGCAAAGGTCTTGGACTTGACCACTCCTATTAAAGGTAAGGGGCCAGGCCTTTGCAGGAAGGGGCCAGGGCCAAATGCCTAGACTTAGGGGGCTCTGGAGTCATGAGGCAATGCCTCAGCCAAGGCCCTTAAGCAAGAAATACTCTTATTTCACTGGGACTCATATATCTTCTGAAAAACTGATCTTTCCTCAGAGGTTAAAAATATCTAAAACACCTTGGACTTAACCACTCCTATTCAAGGTAAGGGGCCAGGCCTTTGCAGGAAGGTGGCCAGGGCCAAATGCCTAGACTCAGGGGGCTCTGGAGTCATGAGGCAATGCCTCAGCCAAGGCCCTTAAGCAAGAAATACTCTTATTTCACTGGGACTCATATATCTTCTGAAAAACTGATCTTTCCTCAGAGGTTAAAAATATCTAAAACACTCCCAAAATCAAACATCAAAGGAAAAAGCACCCATAGTGGTCATGCTGCAAGCCCCTCTGCAGTGGGTCAGGCAGCTGCACTTACCCATTCCAGTAACTCTGGCCCATGCAGGCAAACGCTTCCAAGCCAAACCAGGTGCCATAGGTGAAGCAAACCCCCCAGGAGCTGCAGAGGAGACAGAGACAGCCTCAGCCCTTGACCTACATTCTCAGTTTTTGTCAGTGTGTGAACATCAGGGCTCCGTGGGCTGCTAGAACATCCTCCAGCAGAAGGGGTTCCCAAACTGTGACTGTTTCCAAGAAACACATTCACAAATCCTTCAGCAAGCCAAGCAATAGGTCTCTTTAGCTCCATCTATTACACACTTAAGGACAGATTCAAATAGCCAGGAGGAGAAAAGGGAAGGGTCTTATCAGGCCATAGCAACTCCAATACACTCATCCCAGCTGCATTTAGCAATGCACTGAAGGACAACTGCCAAGACATAAGCCAGGTTCTCAAAAATGAACAAGGTCTACGGGAAATTGGCGGGTTGGTAGCTGACATCCAGAGACTTTTGGTGTGGCACACATACAACCAAACATTTTATGAACACAGTGTGCAGGGGTAGAAATCCACATCCCATAAATCTACACCCATGGGCAGTGTTCACTCACCCTTCCCAGGAGCCATCGGGCCTCTGCTTCTGCCGGCAGAACTCCAGGCCCTTCTCAAGGGTGTCCCTGGAACACAGAGGTCAGTTCATTTAACATTCCAGTAAAACAGCAATTTACCTGCCTCAATCCTACCTGCTCCATGATTTTAAAAGAATAAGCATAGTCTCTATTAGAAAATATGTGAAAGGGCCAGCTCTGTGGCCTAGTGGTTAAGGGAGCCAATTCCCACGTGACTAACCATGGATCAACTCCTGGCCCCAGTGGCTTGTTGTGCATGTGTTTGTGTATGTGTTCTTAATCTGACATGATGGAGAAATGAAGAAGAAACTGCAATGTAACCACGCCTCAGTGGGGAAGGTAGTGCTTTGTCCCTTTCTCCTTGTTTCTCTGGCAAACATACATGCACTTTGGCAATGAAAAAAATAAGAGAAAATAAGCAGTCCAAAGAGAAGACACAAGGGTCTAAAAAAAGAAGCAACTACAGGACATAGGAGGAGGAAAGCAAACCAGCAGAGCTCAAGAAACAAATGTGAGGGACCAGCAGTTGGCGTAATGGCTATGTCGCTGGACTTCCATGTAGTCAACCATGGTTCGAGTCCCGGACCCGGTGGCTTAAACTCACACCAGGCGCATGTGCGTGTGTGCCCAAGATCCCAAGAGGAGAATGGAGGAAAAGGCACTGTGGTGTGGCCATCCCCCTGGGGGTGATTTCTCGCTTTCTGTTTCTCTGTCTCTCTCTGTCTTTCTGACGAGCGCACGTGTTCTATAGCAAAAAAAAAACAAAAAACAAAAAACAAACAAAAAAAAGCTTTCCAAAAAAATAAGAAAAGAAACAAATGTGAGAGGAAAATAAAATCTTAGGGATGATGCTCATATTAGCAGAAGCAACAAACAGGATTATTATCACTAAAAACAACAGTGACACAAATTTGAATAAGTCATATAAAATGATCAAAATTTTTAAAATAGACAAAAGAGGATAGATTTAGAAAACAAAGGAAATCCATCTTAAATTAAACTGGTATTTCAAAGAACAACCAGTTCTCTGAAAAGGCATAAGCGTGAGCTTCTCAAGTGGCCTAGGACCCCTATACCTTCTGGTATCCAGACCTGGGTTATCCCATGGGGCCTGTAGCTGTTTCTAACCAGCAGATCACAGGAAAGTTGGTGCGACATCACTTCTGTGACTGTTACATGGGACGGTAACATCCTCTTGCCTGTTAATGTCCTCCCTTGCTGCTTTCAGGAAGCCCCATAGAGAGACTCACATAAAAAGAAACATGTGGTAGCTTCCAGTAGCAGACCCTACACCAGCCAGAGCTCAGACAGAACCCTTCCTTAGCCTGTCCTCAGATGGGATCCTAGTCCTGGCTGCTACTATGACCAAAGCCTGTGAGCCCCTAAAGCAGAGGACCCTGCCTCAATTATTCAACAACAAGTAATTGATACAAAGAATGAAGATGCGGATGAGTATCAGCGACAAGAAGTGAAAAATCTATAGACATAGAAGAAAATTAAGAGAAAATAAGAATGTTTTCATATTAGAAAACTTAGACAAAATGCACGATTACTAGGAAAATTGACTTAACAAAACTGCCTCAAGAAATAGCCTAAATAGTCTAAAACTACTGAAAATACAAGTTAAAAATGTAAACTTTTCCCAGAAAGAAAAATCTAGGCCCAAGTCTTATAAGTAAATTCCACTAAATTACCAATAATGTCCATTCAATGAAAGCTTGACATTGGAGGCGCAGAGATGAGTCTGGAGAACACCAGGTTAAGTGAAATAAGTCAGGCACAAAAAAAGAGAAGTCAGGGACCAGCAGTTAGCGTAATGGCTACATCGCTGGACTCCCACACAGTCAACCGTGGTTCGCGTCCCAGACCCGGTGGTTTAAAACTCACGCCAGGGGGAACCAGCAGTTAGCGTAATGGCTATGTCGCTGGACTCCCACGTAGTCGACCGCGGTTCGCGTCCCGGACCCGGTGGCTTAAAACTCAGGCCGGGCGCATGTGCGTGCGTGTCCAAGATCCCGAGAGGAGAATGGAGGAGAAGGGATTGCGGTGTGACCATCCCCCCTGGGGGGGTGATTTCTCGCTTTCTGTCTCTATGTCTCTCTCTATCTGGCAAGCGCACGTGCCCTACAGTGAAAATCTCTCCAAAAAAAAAAATTCACGCCAGGCACATGTGCGTGCGTGCCCAAGATCCCGAGAGGAGAATGGAGGAGAAGGAATTGCAGTGTGGCCATCCCCCCTGGGGGGTGATTTCTCATTTTCCGTCTCTCTCTCTCTGTCTGTCTGGAGAGCGCACGCACCCTATAGCAAAAACCTCTCCAAAAAAAAAGAGAGAGGTCACTGGTTTTCACTCATATATGGAAATTAAAAATGTGTCCTCAAGGAAGGAAAGGAAAGAATACAATAGTTTTTACCAGAAGTTGGGAAGTGTAGGAGAGAGGATAAGGAGATGTCAATGGATAAACATGAAACTACTGTTAGACAAAGGGAAAAGTTCTCATGTTCTATAGTGAAATAGGGTAACAGGTAACAATTTATGCGTATAAGAAAATAGCTAAAAGAGAGGATTTTTGAATTCTCAATAAAGATAAATGTTTGAGCTGATGAATATGTTTTTAAGCACTCTAATTTGATCATTATACATTGTATTCACACACTGAAAAGTCACATTGTACCCCACAAAAACATACAATTATTACATGTCAATTTAAAAAATAAATTCTTTTTTTTTTTTTTGAGAGGTTTTTTGCTATAGGGCACATGTGCTTACCAGACAGAAAGAGACAGAGAGACAGAAAGTGAGAAATCACCCCCCAGGGAGGATGTCCATGCCACAATCCCTTTTCCTCCATTCTCCTCTCGGGATTTTGGGGACGCACACACACGCCTGGCTTGAGTTTAAGTCACCGGGTCCAGGACTTGAACCACAGTTGACTACATGGGAGTCTAGTGACATAGCTATTACGCCAACTGCTGGTCCTTAAATTATTTCTTTAAAAAAAGCAAACATTCATTCTAATTTCATACAAACTCTTCTAGAGAACAGGAAGAGGAAGAAATTTCCCCTCCCCAAGTGTTCTAGGATCCAGACAAGGATGATATGGAAAAATAACCCTTTCTCTAAGACTGCATTACCCTGTATCAAAACCAGACACAAACTCTATGGGAAAGGAAAACTACAGACCAGTACTTTTCCTGGGTAGAGATATAAAAGTCCTCAACCGAATATTAACAAATCAAATCCAACGATGTATAGAAATGATATACCCCAAACAAATGGACTGCAGATCAAATAATATTTTATCAACTTCAATGTACAGACTTTACATAAAAGAATATACCTGCTAAGAAATATTGAAGTATTTAGTGGTTAAAGTATATCATATCTGCAACTTACTCTCAGATGGAAGATATACATGCAGGAGTATGGGAGGAAATACAATACAATGAACCAAATTTAGTAAACTGTTGGCAACTGAGGAATTTTAGTTAAAAGGATGTGAGTGGGAGGGCTCTTTAATATTGTGTAGCTTTCCTGAAAGTTTGAAATTAAGGGAGAATTTTAAGTTGGTGTAGTAAAAATGAAACATTCCATAAAATAGTGTTAGAGTAACTGGCATCCCCAAATTATATTTCAAAAACTCCCCAGGCAAATTAAAGTTTTTAATAAAACAAATTATATCAATATACATGACTGTTTAAAATGAAGAACTATGGAGCCAGCTGGTGGCATGGAGGTGGCTGACTGTGCTTCAAGTTCTGGACCTGGCAGCTCAAGAAACATGCCAAGTGTGTGTTCATGCATGCCCAGAATCTTGAGAGGAGAATCAGGGAGAGGAGACTGCAGTGTAGTCATCTCCTCTGGGAGGTGCTTTCTCATTTTCCCTCTCTTACTCTATTTCTGTCTCTCTTTGGCAAGTGCACATACCTGTAGCAAATCTAAAAAAAAAGTCTTGAACCTGGAGGCTTAAAAAACATGCTGGGTGGGACCAGCAAATGGCATCGCTGGATTCCCACATGGCCGACTGCAGTTCAAGTCCCAGACTCAGTCGCTCAAAACTCATGCCAGGTGCATGTGTTTGCAGGAGGAGAATGGAGGAGAAGAGACTGTGGCGTGGTCATCCCCCCTGGGTGGTGATTTCTCACTTTTCCTCTCACTGTATCTGTCTCTCTCTCTCTGGAGAGCATACATGCCCTAAGACAAAAATCTCTAAAAAGAAAAGAAAAACATACTGGTGTGCGTGTGCCCAAAAATACCAAGAGGATGGGACCAGCAGTTAGTATAATGGCTATGTTGCTGGACTTCCATGTAGTCGACCGCGGGTCTAGTCCTGGACCCTGGTGGCGTAAACTCACGCCAGGCACATGTGCGTGCGTACACAAGATCCCAAGAGGAGAATGGAGGAGAAGAGACTGTGGCGTGGTCATCCCCCCTGGGTGGCGATTTCTCACTTTTCCTCTCACTGTATCTGTCTCTCTCTCTCCCCAAGATCCCGAGAGGAGAATGAAGAAGTGATTGCAGCATGGCAAGCCCCCTGGTGGGTGACTTCTTAACTTTCCCTCTCTCTCTCCAGCAAGCACATGTGCCCATAGCAAAACTGGAAAAACAAAAGAAGAAAAAAACCTATGAAATCTGCACACCCTATAACTGTGCTCTATAACACAGCAAAGGTACTCCTAGGTACAGATCCACACGAAATGGGTACCTACATGCCCCAAAAGACAAGTATAACAATATTCACAGGGTAGTTCACAATAACCCTGACTGATTTTTCCAAGTATCAATGACTGGCAGATAGAAAACATGTGGTATCTGGATTTAATCAGTAGCAAAGAAAAAGATCAACTGCTGCCCCTAGCCACCAGACTCAACATCACAAATATACATCTGGAGAGAGGCTGGCAGGAGAGCCCACGCTAGGATCCCATTTGTATAAGCAGCAGGGATCTGCCATTGAGAAGGCAGGAGGGCAGCCCCTCGGAGACGGTAGGAGAGAGGCAGGGAGTGAGGGACATTACTCATACACACATGTCCACTTCATGATGGTCACGGAGCTATGCACAAATCTGCACTTTCCTGAATATCTGCTGTCCTTTCATAGAAAGGTTCCTTAAAAATCGCTGTTTAGGTGGGACCAGCAGTTAACACAATGGTTATGTTGCTGGACTCCCATGTAGTCGACCGTAATTCGCGTCCCAGACCCGGTGGCTTAAATCTCACGCCGGGCACATGTGCATGCATGCCCAAGATCCCAAGAGGAGAGTGGAGGAGAAGAGATTGCGGTGTGACCATCGCCTCTGGGGAGTGATTTCTCGCTTTCTGTCTCTCTGTCTCTATCTGTCTGGCAAGCGCACGCACCCTATAGCAAAAACCTCTCAAAAAAAAAAAAAATTGTTGCTTAGGGACCAGCAGGTGACACAGTGGTTAAGGGGCTGGACTCTTACATGGCTGACTACTACCATTCAAGTCCCAGACCCAGCAGCTTGAAAATCACACCAGGCACATGTGACTGCATGCCCAAGATCCCAAAAGGCAAATGGAGGAGAAGGGATTGAGGCTTTGCCATCTCCCTGTGGAGTAATTTCTCACTTTCCCCCTCTCTCTCCAGTAAGCAAACATGTTCTATAGCAAAAAAAAAAAAACAGTCATTTATTTGGACACAGGTGGAGTTTAGGTGTGCATCTTCTCTTTTTCTTCAATGTTATTAAAGATATAAAAATTGGTCATTTCTGAGCAGTGCGGAACAGAGTGGCCAATGACTTACAGAGCAACATACATAAGTTTTATTGCGACTACTGTGATATATACCCCACCCACGATTCTCAACTGCATTTCAACAAAGGAAGATTCCTCCTACTCCATTCTCTGCTCCTCCTCCTATAGGGTCAATGATCCCACTTCCCCCCAGTCTCTCAGGGCCGCATCACCCTGGCATGATGCCAGCACGCCACATAGGAGGCCCTCCCATGATGCCAATGATGGGCCTTTCTCCTCCTGGGATGATGTCAGTAGGACCTGTTCCTGGAATGAGGCCACCCATGGGAGGACACTGCCCTAGGACACTGATGCCTGGGCCTGCAATGATGAGACCTTCTGTCCACCCCACGATGGTGCCCACTCGGTCAGGAATGACTCAGCCTGACAGATAAGGAATAGAGGGAGGCTTCTTTATGTCAATTTTATATTAACTTGTTCTACTTCACCAAAAGATCATAGTGCTGTGACTCTGGGTGTTTTCTAACAGCATCTCAAGGTACTTTCTCCCCCTTCCTATTAAAAAAAATTAAAAACGAGAGTAGTTTTGGAGGAGAAGAAGTGGAACAAAAAAGTACAGTTTTCATTTGTATTGTGAGATGTGAAAATAAAATTGTCAACTGTTTTAGTTAAACATATATATATATGTATATGTATATGTATGCATATATATGTGTGTGTGTGTGTGTGTGTGTGTATATATATATATAATCAACTTTATATATATATATATATACATATATATAAATTAACCAATTTTTGTAATTAAATACACACATTTAAAGCACTTAGGCACATAACTGGACTCAGAAACCTCTGAAATCTCTCTGTAAATGAGTTCTATTGCACAGCTGCTTTTCTGAGATGGGCTGCAGGCTGAGGCTTCCCTACCTGATCTCCATTGCCCTGTGGTCTGGGAACTGCCTGTGGAAGAGCTTCAGTGCCTGCATCACAGCCGAGGTACACTCTACATACGTGTAGTCGATCATGATGTCCCCTGGAAAAGGGGGAGATGAAATAAGGCATGTCAGCTCCGCCCTGGCCGCCAAGGCCTGCAAATCAACCAAACATGAAGAGTGGCCACAGTAACAACTGGGCTTGGCTAACCCAGAAGCAGGAGGCACAGCAGAGAGAGGAGCGACACCCCAAAGTCTACATCCGACAGGCAGAGGAAACAGATGAACAGGCCAGAAGGGAGGATGCAGGACGCACTAGGAAGCTAACCAGGAGAACAGGATCTGTCCCTGCCAGGTCAGAGCCACTGGAGACACACAGACAGGTCTCCACTGATACCCCCTGCAGGACAAACAGCAGCTACCACAGAACGTAAGCCCTACAGACAGAGCAGGAGCTCACTAAGTCTCCAGCCTATCCCACCATGAGCACAGGACATGCTAGGGGTCAGGGAGGGATCTGGCTCAGTACCAAGCAAGGGGAAAAGCACCCGCCACTGATAACCCTGTTTACCAAAGACTTCTGAAGGGTTC